ACAACAACAACAACAACAACAACAACAACAACAACAACAAAAACAAAAACTTTACAGGAAAATTAATAACTTGGATATTAAAACAAAATATAATTACTTATAGGCCTTCTCTCACTCTCCTCCATTTCCTCGGCTTTCAGCCTGCTGTTGAACTTCCCAAACTTGATGGAAATGTACAAAGCCATACAGTCAATGACACTACCGCAGGCTCTCAATTCTCCATATCTTAGACAGCTGGGAATCAAGTACGTAGATAGCATCATCGAACTGGTTCGGAATTACAATGACGAGGAACTTCTTTCACAAACCATTCTCTATTTGACCAATGCGCACAAACATCGAGGAATCACTGTGGCACATTTGGTGGTAAGTTACAAATTATTGATTTAGCAAAGGCCTGTACTAAGGGTATTAACTGAATTATTTTCTATCATCAGATCAGATTAGTTTAAAGTACCATCGCATTTAAAATTCCCAATTTTATGCATCTCGTAATAAGTTTCCCAGTTGATTTCCTAATGCGAATAAATTTCCCTCTCTGATGCTTCCCCCAGATTCATGATTGTGTTATCCAGTAACAGATCCCAGATGGCTGTCCATTCAGATAGTACGGTGATGAGAGGACTAAACAGTTCAACCTATTCAGAGATGTGTTATATGTTTCAAGTTGCCCAGAACTTGAAAATAATGAAACCATCGCGAGTAGTTAAGTTGTCGTGAATGTTTGCTTTTGTATTGTATGATTTGTTTTGTTGAGATCTCTGGTAAATCTCTAATTTCATAGCGAAAATAAGCTTTAGAGGCGCATTAGGATCTAAGTTCAATGATTTAGTGCGGTAAACGAATGCCAGAGAGTGAGATTCAAAGTCTATTTTTCAGCACACCAGAGACAGATTTGGTTGAGCTCTAACTAAATGAAGTTAACCCACATTTCGATCAAAACGTCACCTGATGCCACATGAATGCTCACGTACGTTCGTTGTTGTTGTTGATACAGTGAATAAAGTAGGAGTAGGAGATTTTATATGCTACTGAAAAGAAATCATATGTGAATGGTTCATATATATATTGAATTTTTGAATAGAGCAATCAAATTGTGCACAACGTGTTTTTCTCATGCTTTTGTTTCAGGCAGCGCTGCCAGTTTTCACGGACACCATTGTAAGTTATCTGAAAACCGAGGAGAACAAAGAAAGCATGCAAGAAATATTATCTGTGGTCTTACCGCTGATCGGTAAACGTCTCTGACCCATTTGTTTTTTATCCCGCCCTTTTTCCCATCTCATCAATGCTCCCTGTTCCACTGTTCCTACCCCAGAGGACTTGTGAATCATTTACCTACTTGGATGCGCATTCGTATATATAATCTTTACTATGAAGTCTTTATTGATTCATTTCCGCTATTACCTCCAGTGTACAGAGTAAGCTTGCCCATTGCCAATAATTGAGTCTGCTTCTCTTTCGCATCTAAGGTTGATATGAAGTATTCTGTGTACAAGCTTTTTTCTTTTCGTTTCTTGGAGGGATATTATCATATTCTAGTTTATTGATGAAGCTAAAAGAAAGAGTGTGCGAAGAGAAAGATGTGGTTTGTGAGATAACTCTGTTATAGAAACTATGCTCGGCGTTTGAATCTAACGAACTACTCATCTCTCAAACATTTTGGAACATTTTTGCTTCCGTTTTGATTTTGAAAACAGGAAAATCTTGACTACAAACTCAGTGACTCCATCATTGAAAAGATAAGTTGAACGATAATTTGCCTGCAAATACGGCGCCGTGCCTACGTTGGTCGTTCTGCACCGGACGAGAACAGCAGTGCGTTTAAATGTCTTCAGCAACTAGGTAGTCAACTCAAGGAATAAATTACCACAGGAGCTGGTGGAGCTAGGGAGGGTGCATGCTTTCAAGAACGAGCTCAATAAGCGCTGGCTGAACGTATTTCTCGAAGTAGACGCATATGTTAAGGTCTGAAAACGGTGGTAGGTTTTTTTCAGTCACTAACCACCCCAAAAGGGGAACACTTCCAAATGTGAGGCCTCTCGCCTAAACAAGGGGAGAAGATATTTTTCCGTTCCCCTTCCCTTTCAGAGTTTGAGACGACTGGGACGAGAAGAAAACGTGAAGAACTACAATATAGAACACTCGCAGGGTAGGGGCTAACACGTGGTTTACTACCGAAGGAACTCTTGACAATCGATTGGCCGTGGCCATCTTCTGTCCTGTGCAAACTGACTGACTGACTGGATATCCGGGACGTCTCCAGACAGTGATCGATTATCCAATGCACAGCTTTTCGAAAGGCTGTATCAATACCAAATGGAGCATTGAACAGATATGTACCGCGCCGAATAATGGAGTATACTCACCTTTTGACATCTATTCAAACTTTTGATAACCGTGTTCAACAAGTGACTACTGTAGTGATCGTAAGTAGTTTGTTTCGATGCAGTTTGTCATTTTTACGGGCTAGGAGAATAATGTCAGAAGGAGGTCTATACAAAGCATAATTCAATGTGTCCGTGCTTTGGAACACACAATCGGGTGCACACGTTGAGATAGCTAAACGCTGCACTGGTAAACGTGAATCTCGCTGAACCCAGGAATAAAGAATAAGCCACGGCTGATTTGACGGCCCGCAGTGAATCTTTTGTCCCGATCAGACTGATCTGTCTCCGAGAGGGTAAAGTTAGCCTCGTTGAGAACCGCATACTTCAACAAACGAAAATTGTGAGGATAATTTTATCTCAAGCATCCCAAACCATCTAGGTGAGTTGAGCATTTAAATTAACTAAAGGCTAACAGTCTACGGAAGTGGTCATCCGCGCAAGCTTATTAGAGCCCAATAACGTTCACTTACATCAGTAGATTTCCGCTTTAAAATGCCTATTGGCATAGGAACTGAGAATCTTTGTTTGAATTGCAGTCAGTAATCTGTGATTCCCATTATCGTCCATTCAAAAAAATTTTGAAGAATAAAGGATATCGGATATTTAATACCTAACTGGTAGAAACTAAACTCAATGGTTACAGTTCTGTGGCTGGTTTATTGGCAGACTATAGGTCCAACCAATGTTATAAAAGACATCCTGTTTTCGGACTATACGAATCAAATAAGGGTCAGAAACATTATAGGAGGCAAAAGATAATCCCATTGCAGTATCTATCCATGGCTATAAAACCTACCTAGCTGATGTGGTAAGTGGGCCTTCTCGGTTTGAATGTGAAGAACAACGTACTGTCTGAATATCTGGTGAGTCCATGTATATTCGCCTTATCAACAATACTTTTTCCAACAAGGTGGAGCGTCAGCACATTCTGCAACTGTTATGACCAATTGGCGAGATGTTCGTTTGCAGTAGATTAGATAGAATGGACTTACATCAGGACCCGAGATATCTCCTGATTAAACTCTGTTAAACTTTTCCGTTCGACATTATGCAAAAAGAGAAAATTATATTATCCCCAATCACAGAACTCGGATTAGTGTATGCCTGAGGGGGGGGGGGGTTCTGATACTATTTATGGCAGTAAATTAACAGAATATGGATTACAGACTGCAGATTTCACTGTCGGAGAAGGTGGAATTTTTAAACACCTAAAGTGGAAAAGAAAAGAGAAAAAGACTGTGGGTTTACAGAAGCTATGAACAGTCAATCAGTGGGAATCTTCAGGGGACCAGTTTGGAAATAGGACAAGACAGAAGCATGGAATCAACTTTTGCCTCCGCCAGATCTCTAAAACATAATTGAATAGAATTGCTTAGCCAGAAAAAATATGAACGCTCTCATTTATAGACATCCCAATGAATGGGAAATTCTTATCGCCAAAATAGTCTAGTAAACTCGCTATCTTAAATTAGTGTTTTTTCAGAAGATGCGCATCGGAAGTAATACAAGTCGAACGACCTTCGATGACCGCGTTTGGCAACTGATTACTTTAGTTTTTCTCAGTAGTCAGTCTGTATGAATTCTACCATACTTACGGACATGCAGGCCTTTCGCAGATATTATTTCTTAAGTATTGGCACACTTCGCAACAGAGGATTTTATTATGTAATGCATTTTAATCAGTGAAACAATAAAACACATACAATATCTGAAACCTCCGTAACTGCCATTTAGTAATTTGGCCCAATTTTGCATTGTTTCGTTTGGCCGTTAATCAAAAGGTTACTATTTTAAACACCCGACGGTATGATATATTTTTGTCATGAAATGAAAACGATTATTTCAAAGAGGGATTTAAATTAATGTTTATCAGTGGCAGGTGGTTCAAATATTGCGGGGTTTTTCTATTATTCCGTTAGATTCCCTCTATGTACACATTTTGGAGATTTTGGATGTGGACATACCCCCATCCTGAATGATCTTGATTGAATTTCATTATATAACACATTTTCTCTGCGAATTTCCCTATTGGGTAATGTGCGCATTACTGAGTAATAAGGCTTTTAGAAAAAACCGGCAATTGCTCCAGAACTATAGCAATACTCTGAACGGATCAAAGAGAAACATACAAGCAGTCAGTTGCTGAGTACAAATATCAAGCGTCTTTCTAAACTTTGCCTTTTGCTGCATACCAACTCCTTTCCTTCAAACACCAAACTGCCAGTTGCATATATTTCTGTAAATTTCTGTAGTTAATACGCCTGTGAGCTGATAAAGTAGAATTTTTTCCGGATTAGAACAAATATTTGCTTACTTTAAGAAGGTGATGCGTGATTTATTGTCCCCAATCAATGAACGATTCGTAAGTTTGCCTTAATCGTGTTTTCATATCCAACTATCAAGCAAATTACACATTCGGGTTTTGAAAAACTTCAGTGCTTGAACAATGGCAATTGTTTTAGTTTTTCCAGGGGTGCACGGGACTGAAGAAAGAGGTGTACAATACCAGTGAAAGGACGAATACATCAGACTGTGGGATCTATTAAATTTATTCTTGATGTAGTCGAAATACGATCTTGGTGAATTGCTTAGTTCTAATGGCTGCCTACTTCTTGAATTGAGGCTAATTTAACCATACTGGAATAATATAAAACTGAAACCTGATTGCCTGGATTTATTTAATTGAGCAGGTGCAAATAGACAGCAAGGTCAAAATGGTATTGTCCGAATTAATGTGATTATCACCTCTCCGACGAGTGTAAATTTACTTCCATTGATAATCTGATGTCCCGTTTGACAGCCTAAGGTTATCTGAGTATAATACTGTTTAGGAGTCGTCATCAGTATCGTTGTCGAAGAAAATAGTTCAGCCAACCTTTTATCACCTTAAAAGATTCTGATAACCGTAAGCAACAACCGACTACAGTAATGATTTTCACAAGTCAACTCAGATATGGTTTACTACTATTACGTATGTGTGGGCTTTCGATTGGCACACTTTTGCCATAGAAATTGACCGTGAAATGTGTTGATAACGTATTTCTGCCGATTGCTCCAAAGAAACCGTTATTTAAAGTTGCCACCACAGGTTTCCCTCTCGTTATTTCTAGTTATCCATCAGCCTCCGGAGACACATCTTAACCATTTAAACAATGCTTGAGCTATTTGATTTTGTGGAGTAGAAAAATAAGTTATAATGACTTTTTGGCACATATTATCAAATGATATATCAAGAACTATCGAATGAGAGCCCAATGTGTGCGTTGTTGAAGATTTGTTCCCTAAGTTCGCTCTTCCGCTTGTGCTGCTATCCTTTGTAGTATTCCTATAAAATGAATAGGTAAATGGGCCTATGGAAAAGAGCTGAACTGGTTTGGTTTGGTGTATACATCGACCGATGGGTGAATGGATAAACAGAGAGATAGCACTCGATTTATTTGTGGGTGAAACTTGGAAGTCAGATTTGTGTGCGTGCGAATGCTGCCACTGTTCATAACCAGCTCATACCCTAGCAGGGCCTTATTCGGTTGGTGCATAATTATTGTGAATGTAGTAAACGTTGGAAAGAACACGTTAGGGATGTCCAATATAGCACAAATTTCCCCCTCTTTTATTTAACGTTTAGAAGCAATTTACAAGACTGGTGCCCAGCTCTCATGGCTCGTACAATCATTGAAATCACCTTCGTGAACAAACCGGAATCCACAAAGGTATTTGTTTTGAGTAGAAAAATATCATTCATTTATTCGCGTCACGCCATTCCAGGAGATGATAAAGAGAATTAAGAACATTGCATTTGAAAATCAAGTGAGCAACAAACTCTCTTGGTTATCGACATACAAGTATGATAATGGAAAC